GCAGCATCCGCGCTACACAGGCCCGCAGAGGCAATTCCTCCATCAGAGCGATCCTCTGACCACGTCCTCGACCACCTCCGCACACTCATTGACGACCCGCCAGCATGGCGCGCCGAGCTCACGTCCCTCGACGCCGCGGGCTACGTCCCCGAGATCGTCTTTGTCGACGCGGGGCTCGTGACGACGCTGAATGACAAGAACCGCACGAACTTCCTCGACCTGTTCCGCGCGGTCGCCGAGTTCGACGGGTACCGCGCGGGGACGCTGATGGTGGAGCGCTGCCGCACGCCGCAGCTCGCGGTGGACGCGGAGATGTTCGCGCTGCGCATGCAGCACATCGTGTTGAACGTGAAGCGCAAGACGTTCTCGCTCGGGCAGATCAAGATCTCGGACATCCTCACGGCGGTGCTGCGCGCGGTGCGCCAGCACCACGTCAAGATGGAGGCGGACTTTGTGAACACGGTCATCTCGATCCTGCTGCTGGAGGGCATCGGGCGCCAGCTGGACCCCGGGCTCGACCTGTTCAAGAGCGCGCTGCCGACGGCGTCGCATTGGGTGTTGCACTGATGGCTGATGGTGATCGTGTGCGTGTGCTCGCGCGCCTGCAGCTGATCGCTTGCTTTTCCAGACTGTGATGTTCGCCACGGTCTCGTGAGCGTGCATGAAGAGACCGAGTGAAAATCAAGAGATAGGGCAAGGGAAGGGGAATAGAGAGCGGTGGGACGTGGGGAATAGAGGGTGGTGGGGGGTAGCGGAGAGTAAGGGGACTTGGGGTAGCACAGTCGTACAAGGTAGGGCCACAAAATATATTTCATTCTCACTGCCACATATACAGTCTCGTCCAGTAACGTCTCTCTCCTCGCCCGCAATCGTCCCGCCACCAGCAGACTCCATCCCGCGTGCGTGCGCATCTCTGATGCACAGCGTCGTCGGGACACCCCGGTCAGCATGCTCCGCGCCCAGTGGCTAGCGCATCGTAGAAGCACGCGCTGCCCCCGGTCAGCGCGGCATGACCGAGTCCAGCACTGCGCGTCGGGGGGAAGACGCTGCACCGCAACATCCCAGCCAGACCGGCTAGCAGGCGCGCAGGCCGCCACAGCACATGCTGACCGGGCGCGCAATGCCACGCGTTGCCATCGTGTGCGTTCACGCCTGCAAAGGTGGTCAGCATTCCGCGCGCGAGCATTCCGCGCGCGAGCATTCCGCGCGTGAGCATTCCGCGCGTGAGCATTCCGCGCGTGAGCACCCCCCACCATGCTCGGACGCCCGCACGCTGTGCCCGGTCAGCTCGCCGCGTCGGACTGTCTCCACGCGATTGCGCCCGCTCTGTCTTGCATCCCGCTCACGCCCAACGCGCCCAGCGAGCCACTCTCATTTGCGCGCGCTCGTTACCTCGCTTCTGTAGCTCGCCGGATGCTCTGTTATCCGCCGCCGCCTACGCCTCAAGGCCGCCGCTCAACAGTCAGTATGACCGCAAAATAGTAAGCCTGAACTTACTATGGTGCCCCCGCGGCTGACCCAGCTGACAGCGTAGCCATGCCACCCGATGCGCCCACATCCAATCGCTGCGCTGACGACGACCACCGCCGGTCACGACAATGGCCCGCATCTTGTGTGCCTGTCAATCACGCGAGCGAACCCGATCCCATAACCGGCCAACGTAAGCCTAACCATATCTCTCAGTATTTATCCCGCCGCACTCTGCGCTATTCCAACTCACCTCGCCGAATGTGATATGGTCGACACGCTGCACTGCACTCGTGTTGTGTGCTGTCCGCTCTGGCCACATAGCGCCCAGCTACTGCCGTAGATGCATGACCTATTGTGAATGATCATCAGCGCGCCGGTCAGCAAATAAATGCGAAATGCACTCACCATGTAGATCGGCCCCCAGTGACATCCCGCGGTCGCTGTCGAGCATCCTGCTGCCGAAGCGGAAGCTGAACCCATCTCTGCCTGCGGCTGTACGCTCCATGCCATGTGCCCCGCTCACCAACGGCCACGGACCGAGCACACCAGGTCCCTGTCGGCATCGCGCCATCTGATGCCTGCACTGCGAGTGTTTGCGGCGCGTCCTCGTCACTGTCGCCCCGCTTGGAGGTTTGCGAGTGTGGCATGCCAGGCCTTGCCTCTCGCACCGAATGTTTGACCTAGGCGGAGCCGCAGATTGACGACAGTGGGCCAAGTGGCAATGTGAATATAGACTCCGTAACTGTCGTAAACAGTGCCCATCAGCGCCGCAGATGGCAAAACAAGACACTGCGCACTCACCGCGCACTCGAGAGTGATGGCAGGTCCGCCAAGGGCCTCTGCACTGTTCATCAATGTGAAGCTGAGCACCTCGCACACCCAGGTATGCTGTCATCCGAGTCTTTGCGGCTGCACACCCAGATGTTGCTCGTGATCGTGAGGGGCTCGCTGTGTGAGATTGCGCTGAGGTCCTGTCTCTCGTTGTGATTGTTTTGCTACCTAGGATGCTGACAGTGAGCATGTGTAGTGATCCATTTTGTTGCCCGTACACACCACTCTCGTGGCAAGCACTGACCTTTCAGGTGAGTAGTCTCGACGTGTTGACAGAAAGTTAACACAGTGGTAAAAGCGGAGTAACGGGAAAATCATCAAAATAACATCATGCATCAGTTATATATAGTCTCAGAAAAACAGCGCAGGTGGAAGCTCTGATGCCGCACCCATATCTGATTCTCATACGTAAGTTGATGCCCTTTCTGGGAACATAACTATT